TACTAGGTAAGCGCTAAATCCTGTAAGATTAATCCAGGGCAAGCACTGGGGATCCTTTTGCTTATGTTTAAAAATCTTGCCCTTTCCAAATCCAAGCAGCATAGTGATACAATGCCTTCTTATCAGGGATGTTTATCCCCTTCCCCCAGAGTTTTAACTGATGGAATGAGTCCACCTGAGCATCTCTTCTTCATGGTGTTGGGGAGGAGCAATAAATCAAGTCTTTGCTCTTTGATGTTTCACAATGACTTAGTGGACAGGACCTAACACCTTCTGTAGAAGCCAGGATTTTACATTAATTAACACTTCTTTTCTGTTTGGTAAATTATACAGCTATAAAGGTATACAGTGCACTCACTTAACTTTATAACATGGGGTAAGAGCTTTTATAACCGTTTACTACATGCAGCATCCTACGAGCATGTTGTTAAGTCTAAACACTAAACATATTCATATAAACTTAACATCTATTTTAACATTATTAAAACACAGGTTATGCAGACTGGTTTCCAGCTGTGTGTTAAGTTGAGGCCTGGGGCTTTGACATGAGTTGGCACCTGGTTGCCAGTGTTACAAAGTGAGTAGGTGGAAGTGATTCACCCCAGACAATTGTGTAACTCCATAAAATGTCACAAGTGGTTTGATAAATGTTAACTTTGATACCAAATAATGTTATGATCAGTCCATAAGTTCATCAATTTCTGTGCATCACTCATGGCTAAGACACATCTCCCTTCAACTTCATCCCTGATGGAGCAGTAGGTATTGATCAAGCTTCCTAGGTACACATAAGATTCTACTTTTCCTACAATTTCACCCTACCTTCATTTCAAAACTTTATCTGTTGTCTATTTTCCAAGATAAAACCACCTTATTTTGTTGGCATTTACTGTCAGTCCAAGTCATCAATCAATAATTAAGGGTATGTCTACACTACCCTCCTAGTTCGAACTAGGAGGGTAGTGTAGACATACCCTACTTGCAAATGAAGCCCGGGATTTGAATTTCCCGGGCTTCATTTGCATAAGCGGGGAGCC